ACGGCCTCCTTCGCCTCCTGATGAGAGCAGCGCCGCTTCGACGAGCGGCCAGGAAAGGACGACTTTCATTTCCACCGCTGGCGGAGCAGAGGTTTTTATTCTTTGATGCGAGCGTAGAATCAATCAACTCCCAGAAAGTTGATGGTAAATGAAGAACTCGTCACTAACGATGAAAATCTCAGCGTTCAGACTTTTCCTTCAGTTGTAACAAACGGTATTGAATTCAATATTTTGGAGGGTTTTTTCCACTGATGACCAACAAACTCAAACCAAAGACGGAGCCCTTTTCAGCTCAGACGTTGCCTGGATGGATGACAAATCACTTTATTTTTAATAAATTACATTTCGACTCAGAGATCTGGAGCATTAAAGGTTTCTGTACCTTTTCTTGGGTTGGTACGGAGTAAAAACCTTCGGCTGCTGATGAGTTCGCAGGTGCAGCTCTTACAGGAATGCATATCGCCCGCCGCCTTTCATGCCAGAGTTTTAGACCAAGATCGACTTAAGCCGAGATATCATGACGTTGTGATTTTAGCTACTACTACAGTAGTACCTCGTTTATCGTGGGGGATCCGTACCCTGAAGCCACGTGATAAGTGAAAAACTGCGAAGTAGGAAGAGTAGTACAAGTATTAAGTCGGAATTTATATATATATAAATAAATAAAGTCATTTTAAATGCCTCAGCTACTCTCAGCCACCTGCAAGCGTTCTTGGCCACGCCCACTCTTCTGCTCTTCAGGAGAACTGCAGATCAGCTGATCAGCCGCAGGAGGAAGCTTATCCTGCAGCATGGGCTGCGCAAAGGTGCAGCAGGTGCTAAATAATGTTAAATAATTTATTTTAAATAAAAATTCCATGCCCATTGTGCGGCTCATCCATCAATCAGCTAATTGTGCGTCACGTCCAATCTTATTTTGAAAAACCGCGATAAGAGCGATTTTGCGAAAAACGAACCGCCAAGTAGCGAGGGACTACTGTACGCCAAATGTCAGCTCAGTAACTAAATGAATCCACTGAGGAGCGCGAGCGTGAACTGGTTTTCATGAAATGTGCAGGAACCTGCGGGACGGACGGAGAACTCGTTTGGTTTTGGACTGGGACACTGAAAAGAACGAGGATTGCAGGAGTGTAATCTGATTACTGGTGGTCGTCTGGACAGTTGCAGTGAAATTAAATCAACGTTCAAGGCCTAATGTTTGACAGTCTGTTGGGAAGATTCGGTTGAGTTTAATGTTAGACAATGGATTATTCTTTAAATTAGTGTAACACGCTCCACATTGTCCCAGACAAACTGTCTTTGTCCTACTGGTTTGGTTCGTGGTCTCTTTCACAGCGTGTGTGTGTAATCTGTAGTGTTTCCAGATTAACAGCGTCTTATTCAGGAACAATATTGTGCAGACAGATTACCGCGTGCTCAGCTGCACCGAAACACATTGTTTGATCCTTAAAGACCATTTTCAGTTTTTAAACCTTCGACGGGTCGTGAAGCTGCAAAGATCCATTTATTTATCATCCTGTATGTGTGACTGGTAAAAAAATACAACTAATAAAAAGCTCTTGTGATGCGTCGGTGTGGAAACCTGCTCAGTAGTTGTGCATCTCTCCAACAACCTGAGCGAGCGAAGCCGCTTGTTAAAGATGCGTTTAGGTTGAACAGAAGAAAGAAAACCGTTCGTCTCGAGCTGAAACGTGTGATTTCTGTGTCGCCCCCTGGAGCGCACGAGTCAGCAGACTTCAGCTGCTCACGCCGAGGTGAAAGCGAGCCCACTGTCGGAGCCGAAGCCCCGAGGTGTCGGCTGCACCGCTTCCTCCTGGATGACTTTTTCCCAGACGTCGAGATCATCCGCGGCTGACAGGGGAGTCGTCCCTGCGTGCACGCTCAGGTGACGCAACCCCAACAAACCTGAAAGGAGCCGACGGCACCGGCAGGCTGGTTTCCACCTGCAGACGACGGAGCAGCAGATCTCTCTCAGAGTGGGGGGGGGGGGGGGAGAAGAGGAATTAATGCCTTGCTCAGGGGCTCCTCGTGTCCCCGTGAAGCTCTGCAGGTGACCAGAGTGGGGACCTCCCCACCCCCACCCTGCGGCGAGGGGCTCCACAGGGTGGGTGATGCGTGGAAATTGGAAATTTGGGTCACACTCTGCAGATCTCCAGCACGAGCTAAACGTGAATAATGCAGCGGGGCGTCTGACCCCGTTTCTCCTCGTTTACACAAAAAATTTATTTCACATGAAAGTGCGTCCCTTTCCTCCCCCCACACCCTCCCATCCTCCTCTGCATCTCCTCTCATACTTAGTGTCCGTCTTTCAGCAAAACATCTGACAAAACACAGGACGGACTGTAATGAAACTTTCAGGAAATGATCATTCGATCTTTTCTGGAGGCGATCCAAGATGGCCGCAACAGCTGATCGACATTAGTCAACACAGAAACGGTTGGAACTCAGTCAGTGTCCCAGGTATTGAGCTGAAGTTTGGTGTGGTAGTAGCTGAGAGTCCTCCAGAGCTCTGCTCCTGAATCTATCGCATGAGATTACAAGATCTGACTAAAACAGCTGCAGCTCCGCCCCTTGTCAGCATAAGATTATCTTAATCTAAAACTCTGGTTTGAAAGGCAGGGAGTAATGTGCATTCCTTTAAGCTGCCATGGAAACGTTGTAAAAAAAAAATGCACGGAGAGGATTTAAACTCATCTGTTCCCCCTCGTGCGTTTTTCTCCATACATGGCTGAGCCTCGGTGAGAAACAGAAAACTGCTGAAATATGACGCCGAGCTCCTCTCCAGGCTGAGAGCGAGTCTGCAGCGATGTCACATATCAATCTGAGGAGGAGGAGGAGGAGGAGGAGGAGGAGGAGGAGGAGGAGGGGAGCTAATGAGAAAATCAATAGCCAGGCTGCGTCTCAGCATCTTGCAAAGAACTCCACTAAAAAAAACTAAAACGTGAAGATAATGGACGTGTTTCAGCCGCTCCCAGAGCTGCAGAGGAGAGAAGTGCGGCTGCGGCGAGCGTCGTGTGGAAACTCTGCAAAGAATCTGAGCAGCTTCTCATGACAAGCCCAAACGCCTCTGCCCCAACGTGCACACACGTTACGGTGCACGTTATGGGTCTGTTTGTGTCCCGTTTGCTGTGTGAACCCTGAGTCCGTGTTGTTCTGTTTGCAGCTCATCCAGGTGTGTTGCCAGATTGAGTCTTCAGCAGGTCAGCTGTCAAAAGGTTCGGCTCGTTCAGGACATCACGGCTCGGACTTCTGTCATGATGTTTAGACTTTTCAAAGTTTATTTTTATTTACATTTTTCTCCTTATAGTGAACTCTAAAAACCCTTGAAACCTTTTGTGCTTCTTGAAAACATTTTTTTTTAGGTTGGCTTCATGTTTAGCTTTTAGCCATCATTCTGCTGACTTGAACTTTCAGCTACTGTTGTGATGCGTTTAGCTTTCAGCTACTCTCCAGTAAGTTTTAGCTTTTAGCTGTTGCTTACCTGGTTTAAACTTTAAAGCTTTAGCTCTGCTGGTTTTAGCATTTAGTTTGAATTCTGCTAGTCTTAGCTTTTAGCTTTTGCTCTGCTGCTTTTAGCTTTAGCTCTGCTGCTTTTAGCATAGTTTGAATTCTGCTAGTCTTAGCTTTTAGCTTTTGATCTGCCGCTTTTAGATTTAAGTTTTAATTCTACTAGTTTTAGCTTTTGCTCAGCTGCTATTAGCTTTAAGTTTTAATTCTGTTAGTTTTAGCTTTTAGCTTTAGCTCTGCTGCTTTTAGCATAGTTTGAATTCTGCTAGTCTTAGCTTTTAGCTGTTGATCTGCCACTTTTAGATTCAAGTTTTAATTCTGTTAGTTTTAACTTTTGCTCTGCTGATTTTAGCATTAGCTCCACTGCTTTTAGCTTTTGCTCGGCTGCTTTTAGCTTTAAGTTTCAATTCCGTTAGTTTTAGCTTTTAGCTTCTGCTCTGCTGCTTTTAGCTTCTGCTCTGCTGCTTTTAGCTTAGCTCTGCTGCTTTTAGCTTCTGCTCTGCTGCTTTTAGCTTTAGCTCTGCTGTTTTTAGCTTAGCTCTGCTGTTTTTAGCTTAGCTCTGCTGATTTTAGCATTAGCTCCACTGCTTTTAGCTTTTAGCTACTGCTGCTTTTAGCTTTAGCTCTGCTGTTTTTAGCTTAGCTCTGCTGATTTTAGCTTAGCTCTGCTGATTTTAGCTTAGCTCTGCTGATTTTAGCATTAGCTCCACTGCTTTTAGCTACTGCTCTGATCATTTAAGCTTTCAGCAGCCGTTTAGCTGGTTTTAACTCTTAGTATTATTTTGCTAGGTTTAACATTTTGTTACTATTTTGTTAATTTTACCTTTGTTTACCTATAACTTTAGCCGTTGTTCTAAAGGGTTTAGCTTAAACAGCTTGGTTTTAGCTTCTGTCTCAGATTCATCACTCAGAGCTTTAGCTGCATGTTTTTGTCATTTTACATTTTAAAACTTATTCTCAACTCTTCCACAAAAGTAAAGTGGTGTAAAAACTTTCAGATGTTCTGGTTTTCTAACGTCCAACAGCCAGAAAAACAGTTTTCACCCTTCAGCTCATGTCGCGCGTTCATTTGACACAGTTGCACGTGCAACAAGTTGCAGTTGTGCAGAAAACTGTTTAATTTGTTGTGAAGCTGCGCGCGTTCACATGCGGTCAAAACAGAAGCAAAACTCCCGTTTCAAACTCTAAACTTCATTTTAATGATTGTGCAAATAATGTGCCAAATAATGTTTAAGATGAGAAAATAATCATTTTCACCTTCTATTTTACATCAAGGGGGTAAATTACAGGGATTAATGTAATTTATTTAATTTCTACCTTTAATTTCAGAAATATTCCTCTAATATTTGATGTTAATCTGATTCTGAGGGTTAATCCTGCGGGTTTTCTGTACAAACTGTGTGCGCAGCAGACCAGGTGGGTTTGATTAGGTCTGGACCAGGACCAGGACCAGAACCAGAACCAACAAGCGGACGGTAACTTCTGACACTCACCCTCCGACAACTCCAGCTCCAGCTCGGCCAGTTTAGCCCGCACCTCCGCAGGAAGCGGCACCGGGTCCCGGTCCGCCATTCCGCCGAGAGAAACGGACTTCAAGGCTCTGCTGCCCGGTTCGGTTCTTGCTTCGTCGGTCCAAGTCTGTCCTCGGAACCCCCTCCCGGTGTTAATCCAAAGTGAGTCGGAGCGAGTCTCGGAGAGTCGCTCCTCGCTGAGCGGCAGCCGCGTCCTCCGCAAAACAAGCGTCAAGCTGGACGGAAGCCGACGCGGACACTTCCGGTTACTCTGTTTTCAAAGTAAGAGCTCAGGACTGACGCCTGTGGCACAATCCATAAAAAAATAAATAAAAGTAGCTGGTGTGTGGCAGTTGCTTAAATTAGTGTTAAAGTTGAACATAAATCAAACATAACTTACAAAAAAAAAAAGTTTGATTTTAAAATATTATCCAATGCTTGAAAACATACACATATATTTTTATGCTACTACTAGTGCTTAGTGTATTTTTAGCTAATGTTTGTCTTAGTTCATATCTTAGATCTTATTGCTGTTTTTCTTTTCAATTTTAATATTTTGTTGGATTTAACTGGAACCCTGTGTACACAATTTCGTTCCACCACATGTGCCACATATGGTATGTCAAATAAAGAACCTTGAATCCTTGAATATTGATGTGTAATTAATTTCTCCCTGTTTTGCCATAATTTCTGTTCAAGCTTGTTCATGCTCTTCAACAATCAGTGATGATAATACTATTAAAAAAATCTAAGTGTTTCTAATTACAGCCTGTGAAATCTAGATTTTTCTGGATTTGAAAATAGTTATTGATCATGTTAATACAGCAAAAGATGCATTATAGGAGGACAGTTAAAAAAAGTGAACGGAAACAATTCATAGAACTCAACAACCAATGAATTTGTGTAGAGATGTGAAATCTTTGGCGCGTATAACTTATATTTATACGTATATAAATAAATCTCTCTTTATATACTTGTATACATGTAGATGGAAACAGAAAGGGGCGAGTTTGTGTAAAATCAGTCAATCAATCAATTGAGAATATAGATATTTTAATGTGCAAATAGTATGGTCTTTTTATTAATATTCACTTACCATGATTTTATTTTGATTGTAAACAACACTTCCTGTTTGCCCAGCGTATTCCTACTGACATTATTTTTATTAATTTGGGGGAATATATCTGAAGGACAAAAGAGAGTGAAATTATTAAAATAAAACTCAACGCATCTCAGTGAAAAGTCACCGTTTTATTAACTGTTAAAAAAGTTTTTTTAGTTTGAAATAAAAAAATGTGTTTCCCAAAAATAACCAGTAGAGGGCGCCAAACATCAACTTCCATCTCAGTTCGAGTCTAAATTTATAACCGGGAATAAAAATCTGAACCCCAGCCCGAGTACAAAACAAAACAAACAAACAAAACAAACAAACAAAAAATCAGTTTCTAAGAGTCAGTGGGAAACAATAAACTGTTTAAATAAAATTAAATTGATTAAACGTTTCTGTGCACTTAATTACTTTAAATAATCTTTTAAAATCTATCAGATTCTAAAATCTGAAATCTGATCAGGTAAAGGCAATAAACAAACAAAACAAACAAAATTACTGCTTCATATGAAACAATGTAAATTATGATTCTGATATAGATAGATAGATAGATAGATAGATAGATAGATAGATAGATAGATA